TTCATTGGTGGTTTCTACATTATCTGACATCTCCTTGAGTCTCTCTTCTGTTGCCTTGGCCAGGTTAAAATAACTATCCAGATACTCGTTTTTGTTGTATCTTAATTCTTTTCTTATCACTTCTCTGTCCTCTTCGCTGTGCTTCAGCTTTTTGTCGATCTGATTCAGTTTCGCCATCAAGTCACCTAGCTCAAGAGTAGCCTCTTCATGGTCAGCCGTCGGTCTTTCTTCGGCCGTCGCTTCTGCTCTAGTTTGTTCCTCTCTCGGATTGGCTTCTGTCGTCTTCGTGCTCACTGTTCCAAATGTTCGTGCTCTTTCAGCTTTTGGTTCTTCAGTCACGTTCTCTTTCGTTTTTATTCCGACCATCATCGCCAACCTTTCTGTAAAAGATGTCTTTTTTACTTGAGAGTCTTCTTTCACCGTTTCTTCGGTGTTGCCTATTGCATCTTCCACGTTGTCTATTGGTGAGAATTATATGGGTTTCGAGTTTGGTTCTTCTGCATTGGGCATTGGAGTAGACTCCGTCGCTATTTTCCTTGTTTCATCAACACTTTGATCAGGTGTCTCTAGATCAATCTCGATGGTGGGTTCTACTCGTTCCCCTTCCATGCCCTCTCTTGCTCTCTCCGTTGTACTCCTTGTGCTGACCATATTAACTGAAAAGCTCTTCTTTGTTATCTTCGGACCCATTGATGTTGTTTTGCGTAGCGACGAATTATACTTTGCTTCGGTAGGTCTTTTTTCAGCTACCGGTACCCTGCTCCGCCTCATTATTTCTATTTACAATTGCTCTTATTTACAATTTTACTATATACACAATCCTATTCTAAGAATAAAATCTTTCGAGAGGAAAAAAAAATATATACAACGTGGTGAAAACCTTGTTTCAGTTCTCTTTATTAACTTTTCGAGAAACTTTCCTTATTTGTGGTCTCAACCGTACCTGGTTCCAATTAGTCTTGTTCTATCTTAATTCTGTCTTAAAACACTTCTTGTAATTTTACTTCAATTTTTTACACTGTCCCAAGACTTCCAATTGCCGTCCCTACTCTTCTTTGTACCGTCCCAGGCTTCTTTCTCCTGTCCCAAGACTGTTCGGTACCGTCCCAGTACTTTCCGGCCGTGTCCCAAGACTCTTGTCCAAGACTACTGTCCCAAGGCTAGTGTCCCAAGACTACTGTCCCAAGACTACTGTCCCAAGATTAGTGTCCCAAGACTAGTGTCCCAAGACTAGTGTCCCAAGACTACTGTCCCAAAACTACTGTCCCAAGACTAGTGTCCCAAGACCCTGTCCCAAGACCCTGTCCCAAGACCCTGTTCCAAGACCCTTGTCCCAAGACCTTGTCCCAAGACCTTGTCCCAAGACCCCGTCCCAAGACCTTGTCCCAAGACCTTGTCCCAAGACCCTGTCCCAAGACCTTGTCCCAAGACCTTGTCCCAAGACCTTGTCCCAAGACCCTGTCCCAAGACCCTTGTCCCAAGACCCTGTCCCAAGACCCTGTCCCAAGACCACTGTCCCAAGACTGTACTGTCCCAAGACTGTCCCCAGACTACTCTGTCCTAAGACTTCTTCGGCACTGTCCCAAGACTGTTGACAAGTGTCTGGGTGGTGGGACTTCTTCCCTCTTCGTTATGGGGACTTCTTGATTCGCCGTACCTTGTACCACCACTCAAGCTCTAGTAAAATTTTCCCAAAATCCTCTCTTAAAAACCAAATGCTGACCCCCCTTTTTCTTATTTCTCTTTTTGGCTACCTCTATTTCAATGTTCCAAGTAACTTGAGACCAAAACCTGTGCGCAGGTATCTTGTGATCACCTGTTCGTACAAAATTTTAACACAAATCCTCACCAAAATGCAACAAAAATCTAAGCAAGAAAAAGTAATAAAAACAGAAAGATGAGCCCTCCTAAAATTCAAAGGTGACAAATGTCTACCTTCTATCGAAAAAAAATGTCTTGTACCTAATTGCCACGCGTTTCCTTCCCCCCTGCTAGCGATCTTATGGGGTATTACAAAAACTGTCTATGTCCCTTCCCCCCTACCAATCCGACCAGGGTACCTTCCTTAACTCGAGTTCAAATTTCGATATCCACCTAATATTACCAACGCGTGTTAATTTCTAATGTAACTAAGTCAACGATGTCGACTAATTAGTTACTCTAATTTCCCCCTTTTTACAATTTACAACCGCCAACCTCTAACTTAACCAGCCCCCCTTCTAACCTCCCCCCTTTTTAGCCCCCCTTCTTAAGCCTAAAATTACCTTAAGCGCCGGGTGCTAAACCTCTCAAGAGAAAACCGTAGACCTGTCTCCAGGCCTGCTCAAGTAAAAACGTTCCTCAAAACCGGGGGATGTCGCTTATCCTATTTTACACTTATCTCCTATAATGTAATGTGGATTTTAACGATACCCGTTCTGCCCAACTTGAGAACTCGAGAATTGCCAAATCCTTCTTGGCCGCTTTCCCACTCGACTGGTCACCTGTTCCAGTCCAGTCTCCTATTGGTTCAGCTCAAGTGTCCCTGAACCACTTTCCCACTCGGCTGGTCACCTCTTCCAGTCAAGTCTCCTATTGGTTCAGCTCAAGTGTCCCTGAACCACTTTCCCACTCGGCTGGTCACCTCTTCCAGTCAAGTCTCCTATTGGTCCAGCTAAGTTCCAAGCTATCTGAAAACCCTTGACAACGCCCCACTTCGGGCACCTTATTCAGTTTACTGGTTTAAATTGCTAGGTTGATCGAAACGATCGAACTTGTAAAACAGTATGGGTATACTATTTAATTAATATAAAGGTTTGATCCAACTAATCTGGTGTCAAAGTCACTGTCTTTTTTCGTTTTATGGTTTTTGTTCCTTTTTCTATTCTTTTTTGGTTTTTGTTTTGCTTTTTGTCTTTTTGCTCGTGTTTTTGTCCCCCTAGTTGCCCCCCTTTACTCGGTTAGCTAAGCCTCGTTCGGAGAGCGTACCAGGAAATTTTCTCGAGTTTTCTTAAAAAGCTATCACGGTACAACCGGAAGGTTTGCACGTTCCTGTCGAACCGTACCGCCGGTACTCTAGAATGGGCATTCAGCCCGAAGCTGTCTCAAGTGGGTTCGACTCCGTAGTCTTGATGTCGTAAACACCCAGGAGCGCCATAAAAACACTATGTAACATTCGTCTACTGCAGTCACACATGAGGTTTAAGAAAAATAGGCCCTATAACCACTGGCTCAAGGGTCAGGGACATCATCTCTTGTGTTTTTCTACCTCAAGAACGGTCGGAGCCAGTTCGGTTCGTTTGTGACATGAGACTACGACCCGTTACTGCTTAAAGGCTACTACTAAAATATCCCCCCACTCTAGAATTAGAAACGTCCCCATACTTAGGTCTCTAGATACCCAAAATACATGAACGCCGTTAAAAACCGGGTTGGAACAATCCGTTAAGTTACTTTTTATTAGACAGTGGGACTTTGATCCATTTCAGATGGATCAACCTATAACTCGCCTTACCTCAACATAACAATTATAAAACACACTCTAAGAATTTAAATTAAGTACTCACATTGTAGCACGCTCAAGAACCAGGAAGTAAATAAGTCGGTAAGCAACTCAAGAATTAATAAAGTAACTAAAATGAGTTTAATGTTAGTCAGTTTTAATAATAAGAACAAGTTTTTTCTCTAGACTGTAAGTTCTCGTGAACCATTGGGACACTCTAGCTGTCCACCTTTCCACCGAAGGTTCACTCTGGTCCAGTTAATAATAGTACTCCAATCACAACAATCCAGTTCGTGGGAATGCTCTCGTCTCTGTTTTAGATGGGACAGCTCTACTCTTGTTCTATTGTGACAGAAATTGCGAATAGCAATTTCCCACCGTTTTATTTAGCAACTTTCCCGCGATTGTTACTCGATTGTTCTGACTTCTCTTGATCTGATTTTCAGTTATCGCGAGAAAATCGTGCATGACAGGTTCCATTCGAAATTTTGAAAAACTAAATTTCACTCCAAAATCAAGTGTTTTTTTCTTCTCTCAAGGTCAAACTTCCGAATATGACCGACTGGCACACGGAGTGCTCATTAACGAATATGCCGGTCATGATGCTAAAAAAGAATAACACCCATGAGCGCCATAAAAACATCTATGTAACATTCGCCCGGAAGATACATATCGACGGAAAATAAAGCTAGGTCCTAAGACGACTGGCCAACGTCTAAACAGAGCTTAACATGCTTTTAACCGTCTCTACCAAGCCAGTTCTTTTGGTGGTCTTTCTAACATCGGGTCGACAAAAATGCTACTGTTCTCCGGCTTCAACCAGAACGCTCAATTTAACTAAAATATATGCAGAAGTAGTGAGCTCATGGCTGGGTCTCAGTATCCCCAGACCACGAGGTCACTCTTAAAAACAGGGCTACTACTACTTATTGAATTATTTTGTTCAGTAGATAAAAATCATCATCTCCATCGAAGATGGATCAACCCTTTCCCCCAACTCCTAGCTTCTCATCCTAAAAAAATTAATTCAGATGTTAATTAAATTCAACTCAGGACGAGCCTGTGGATCAACTCAGGACATTCCAGGAAGCTAAAAGTTATTAAAATGGAGTTATTTTCCTCCTTGAGACCCTACCAGATTCTGGGGTCCGTTGACTAAGAGCAGTCTTATCGTCCTTCCGGAAGGCTGGTAAAATCGTCCCAATTCCCCCTCCTAATTCTCGGGAAGTCTTCGGTAACAATTGTACAGCTACTAAAGTAATCTCAGTCGTCAATACCGCTATGTCTTCACGAAAGTCTGTCCGTTTTGTTCTATTCGCGACAATTTTCGTTCTGCTTTTTCTCTCGTTTTCAGTTGTTACAATAAAATTTCGATGTTTCCATGCATTTTGACGCCATTCTGGTCTAATGTTACACATGGTAGCCAATGTTACTTCACTAGTACTTATCATTTTGCCCAGTTTCAAAAAAAAGATACGAGGCGATTTTGATGGCAGGTTGGATCAATTTTGTGAAGTTTTAGATTTCATGTGAGTTAATTACACTTGCAGAAAAATGCAAAAGCCCACTGAATGGGTGAACTCCTTACTTCAACGCTTTGATGAACAGGTATGTTTTAATTTATTTTTCCTGGCCACAGAAAGTACCTATGATGACCCACCTATGATTTAAATATTGTTACTGTTAATTTCCTCAAAAATAACTGAAGAGCTCCTCAGATCTTTCCAGGCAGCCCATTGTTCTTTGAACGCTCTGAGCTTCACGTTGAGTTGCATAATATTGTCCTGTTACTTGTTCCAAACAGGGTTTAATTTCAGCTCCCAATACACGCAGGGTTGCTGACCTCTCATGCAAGGGCAAATTGTGAACAAGTGCGAAGATGTCTCATCAAAGTCAGCAAATACAGGTTTTCCCAGGTGATAAACGGATTGACGAAAATTCTGAAAATTGCAACCCAGCACTCGATACCTTCTCGGGTTAAAAATGAAGACGAGCCTGTGTTGAAGAATCAAAGCATTCTTATGGTACTGGAAACACTGGAGTTATGCTTAGAAGCAGTAAGTGGAACTCAATTCAATCTATTATCTCCCATTATAAATAAAATAATATATATATTAAAAATGTCACCATCTTTTTTGTTTCCTTGCATGCGATACTTTTTCAACTCACATGACATTGTTTAAGCTCTTTCAATGCATTAATTTACACGTTTGAAGGAAAAATTGTGCACGGTCAAGCTTTATCGTATATTGCAAAGCTTAGGATTTGTTTAATATCATGGACGTACTGAATACTCTAATATAGGTTTTTTCTGGAAAACGTCTTAAAATTTGATCAACCTCAAGTTTTTTGTCGCGGTTTGACTTTTGTTCTCTGTAATTTAAGTTCACTTCATGTTCTTTGTTGAAAGAAAGGCAAACTACACCATCGCATAGCCAAATTGTAAAGTTCACGAAAAACCTGATGGGGTTCTAGTTTTGAGAGTCGAATTGTGATTTCCAAGCGGTATAAAAGTTTTAGCTATTGACCTGTTTTTCTCCAATTGGGCTAATTTTATGAAAAAATGTCAAAAATAAATTCTTCTTGAAACTCAAAATTATAAAACCATACTTTTTTTAAATTTGAAACTCGAAAATAAGTTTTTTCAAAAACTTGTCTGTTGTTTTTCTTTTTTTTCTTGCGTTGTTCATGACTCTTTTCCAACTGCCTGTTAGCTATGTTTCTGAATTTCCAGTTTATGAGTGCTGCGTCAATTAATGCACCAATGTAAGGCTATATCTATGATGCCAGCGTTGGAGAGAAGGAGGGCAGTGTAGGGTAGTGTAAAGGTGGCGTTCTTGCATATATCTGTCTATAATTTCATTTATCATTCTGTACATTAGTTTAACTGGCGTTTCAATTATAACATTCGTTTATTCATTCGTTGTTTTTTTAAAAATCTGAGCGCGAATCCTTTAATTCAACATTTTTCGTATATTCGCAGCGCAAACTTTCAAGTTTTTCGTTGCAGTGTTTATCTCACTGAATTTGACTTAACAACTTTTTAATGGATTGCTGCCAGGGTTCTAATAGGGATTGCCATTTTGTCCTCCAATCATGAATACATTTTCCAAATCCTGTTAGTACACGACATATGTGGATTTTTGTGATTTTTTCAAGTTTTCAAAAAATTTGGATTTACAAAACTTCAAAATTTGAGTTCCCCAACACTAAATATGGGGTCTGTCAGGGTACTCTCAGAGGTTTCAAGTATTGCCTCCGAATATGACAGCTCAAATCCTTTCAGTTTCCGTGATCTGACGTTTTTCATTGTTTTTTCAAAAAATTTAATTTTAAATAATTTCGCATAATATGAAATTCTAAAACCTTCAATTGAGTGCTTTCGGGGTAATCTAAGTGGTGGCAAATCTTGCTTTCAAGTTTGAGTTTAACAATTTTTTCAGATTTCGGGATAGATTTTCTTGATTTTTCAAAAAAAAAAAGTTTTTAAGAACGTAGTTGAAAAAAAACGCAGAATTTGTGGGTGTGGTTTCAATGATTTGAAATTCCTGCTTGATGGGATGATATCAGGTTTTTATCAGGGTTGGTACGTCTGGTTTCTAATTATGACTTCTAATTCTTCTTAAGTTTCCGAGATATGACGATTATTATTATTATTTTATCGAAATACTTGCAATAAAGAAAAGGCTTCTGAAAATTTGATGTAAAGCTGCTACCAAAATTGCGGATTGGATTCCCAAGAAGACTGCTCTCAAATCCTTTCAATTTTCGAGATATGAAGTAACTAGAGTTTTTTCAAAATTTTGTCAGGGTTTAAAAATCTGGCCACCATACTGCTCCGTTTTTTTTTAGTCTCCGAGATGTGACAAATCTGACTTTTCTTTTATTTTCCGAGTCATTAATATTTTTTAAGATTTCTCCAAAATTTAGAATTTTTTATGTAATAAAAAAATAAACTTCTCAAAATTTGAATTTCTCGGCTCTATGGCTGCGTGATGTTGGGATACTCCCAGGGTTGCAAATCGTTCAACCTATGAAAATTAATTAGCTGTTGGATGCCTACAGTCTATTACGGTTTCACTAACGAACATATTTTATCCGAAGTTGAAAAAAAACTTCGGGTACAACTACAAAAGAAATATTGTATCTTTACTCTTACAATACCTCTCATGTTGGTGTTTTTCAATTAGTCAGCGAATCAACGTGTTTGTCTTAACATTGAAACATATATACGTGTAGCTGAAGTTGTCATTGATGTTTTTGTGTATAGCAACCCAAAGAGACATCCAGATTGGACGAAACTATGCTTGTGAAGACTCTTCTGCCAGACATCTGCCAAGTTTTAAACTGGAACCCAGTGGAATCTTCACTTCAAATCCAGATTAAAAGTGCCGCTTCGTCAGTGCTTCTTGTTCTTAGCAAGAATAACTTGAACAACTTCAATTCAGTCTTCAGAAGAATTTCTGCGAGGTAATTACTGCTTAATACATGAGTTCAGCCGTAATCTTCAATAGGAACCGTACATTCTTCCCCCCCCCCCCCCCCCCCCCCCCAAGTGACCTACTGTAGAATGTCCTCCTCAAGTATGTATTAATTTTGAAAATTAGTTCCTCATAAAATATTCATTTCAAACAAGCGCACTAAATATACTGCCGGAGAAATTTTTATACTCATTCTCATTAACTATTTTATCATAATAAATTAATCATAATTTGGTATCGATGGATTTTTTTGACTTTTATTTTGACCTCGAAGTCAACTTGTGAAAAACCAGGTAATTTACCCCCCCCCCCCCCCCCCTCGAGCCGATTTGGTGGGGGGATTGTACGGTTGATCTTTTTAAATACATATGAATCGGGTCGCAATTTTGTTATATCGATCCAGATTTATATTCTGGTATCATTTTTTCTCGCTGAGATTGATATGATTGTCGTTTATTCCTGATATGAGACTACCAATTGTGAGAATTCAACATCAATTGTTCAAGGAAATTCTATTTCTTAATACCGTCTATGTCCCGACAGTGTTTCCTTTTTAACTGACGAAATAGACTTTTTAAAATCAGAAAGATGCAATCTTGAAGGATGTTCACACATTTCGCCCCTCACACGTTTCGCCCCTCTTAAATTAAGTGGCACATTTCGCCCCTAAAATAAACATTAAGAAAGCGGCGTTAATTAAATGTGCAATAAGTTAGGGGCGAAACGTGCGAGGACGAAATGTGTGAATTTATTAGGGGCCAAATGTGCCACTAGATTTAAGAAGAGCGAAATATGTGTGAGGCGAAACGTGGGACATTCATCTTGAAGAAATTTTGTCCCAAAAAAAATTTAAAAATTGATTCATTTTTTGTAACTCTTAATCAAATATGTTAAGGAAGCTATTTTTGGTGAAGATTAGGTAGCAAAATAAATCTAATTTCTGATAACGATTTCAATTGAATTCGTGTTTATTTTCGGAGGCCTTACTCGAAATAAAATTATTTTAGCCCAACTTAGCTATGATATATTTGCAAAAGCTCTCCTTGTTAATTGAAAACAACTGATTTTAATCAGTGTTTTGTACTCGACATACGGCAAATTATACGAAAACCTCTGATACTATATAAGGTTATACGAGAAATCAGATTTTACGATAAGTTAGATGATTATATATGGCGATAAGTGAGGCAAGGATTTTTTCATTAAATACTGAGAGATTGATTGATATTTGGGGCGGCTCAAGTCTAACATATATTGTTCTTGATAGCAATCAGAGATTTTTCGGTAAAAAATTGATTGAGCAGCTGAGCAGCAAAGACAGTCTAATAAACCTCGATCGATTGCTGTAATTGAATTAGGATTTTGATCTGAGGTTGTACGATTAAACGTTTTTTAAACGAAAGACAAAATATACGGTTACAGGTTTTATGATAGTCAGATCATAAGTTGCACGGTTATTTCGTTATACTTCAATACGGGGACCGGCCTATTAGCATGTGTGTCGATTAACATGCCTATGTAAGAGCATGTAGTTTGAAGACTCGCTACAGTTCAAGTTTTGCTTACTCAAATTTGCTATTTTTATCAGCGTGCACTTAAACGGGCGAAAATGAAACTTTTATTTCCCTAACAAATAAGGCAGTTTTCGAAATTAATTGAAAAATTAGGTTCATTTGCCTTTCGTCTGAATGCACACCCAATCAAAGCAATTAGCGCATGCTAATAGGCACACATGCTAATCGTTACACCACCTTCAATACACTGGTTTCAATCATGTTTAACTTGATTTTAGCCTGCAGTCTTTGGCAACCAGCGGAAGTTCGACCGAAGAGAACAACACAGGCTTGGATGATCTGGAGTTGATCCAGCATATTAACTTGAACCGACAACTGCTTGTCAGGTAGCTAAGCATATCTAAAATTCTGATTAATTACGACAGCAAGTGTTGGTGTAAGCGTACAATAGACCCTTTTTAAATAACAGCTTCCACAAGTAGACTGCTCAATTTCACTTAATTTGATAACAAAATATGATGAAAACATGATTTTAAAGAAGACAGTTTGGTTTGGAGTTAAGTTTTAAATTTTTGAGGTCAAATTTTTTTTTGTATGTGAAATTGGAACATATCGCAATAATGCTTTAAGTTCCCTTAAAAACTACTTTGTTTATCAGAAGTGCAAGGTTCAAATTTTCCTGGAAGCCTTTTAATAATGGTGAAATCATAAACCTAAATTCCATACTGGATTATTGCCCTATTCCGAACAAAAATCCATAAGCACAAATTGCCCAATTTTAGATTCTGATTTTGTCCATTGCTTTCTGTGTTTATCTAATACAATATTGATATGATATAGTAATTGAGATTAAAATCAGTAGAGCAACCAAATATTTCCATGACAATTTTGCAGACAAATTAACTTTTCCTTGTAATTTTTTGTGTTTTCCCTCGTAATCAATTAAAGATAATTTATTAGAACCTAACCAGTTGGAAGTAGAATTAAAGTCCTCATTCAACCCGATGATAGATTCATTTGCTTATCCAATGTAATGAAATTCTTTCATAAAAATAAATGCCCCGCTCTTAATGCAGATCTAAAAGTGTGTAGACTCTAGAATAAAAATGAGCCAAATTTGAACACAAATTCATCAGTATTACTACAATTGTGATTGATTTAATATTAGAAACGAACCACTTTTTTAATGCTGAAGTAGATCTCTAGTTAATCACAGACTGTCTGCGATATCTGAGTCTGATATTTCAGTCATCAAAATCTGAAGGAATGTTGCTCAACTAAAACTGCTCATTTTGGCGTCGGAAAGCAATTTTTCATTCAATTCAGCACGAATTTAAATCTAAAATGTTTTCGAAGTAATTGTTCGTTTGACCGATTAAAGTGCCAATATGATCGTAATATTAAAAATTAGCAATAGTGTATAATGAATTAGTTGAGTATTTTTTATTTCTAAAATTCATTATGTAGGTTCTAAATTTTTGCTTCATTTTCTAGACTGCTACATGAAGCCACTTTGCACATGCGTTCACTCCGCAAGAGTGTCCAGATGGTGCTGGTGACTAATCTGGAAAAGGCTATCTGGAACTGGGTGGAACAGTATCCGGAGGAATTCGTACAACATCACAGGTTAAGATTAGACTTAGACCTACTAACAAAGAAGAAACTTGCCAAAGTTTTTGACAACATATATTGGCTTGACAACATAATTTGGCAACGATTATTTGACAACATAGTTTTGACTAAATTTTGGGGGAGGTTGTTAACTTGACGAGAATCGCGTGGTCGAGTCCCACTACTGTCAAGGTTGGTGGAATCCCAGTGTCATCCGCCTCCTCAAAGTGGGATCGGCAATGGATGACATCCCCTCCCTCACGGTTGGTCTTGAGTTTCTCAAATTGTTTCTCAAGGCCAGGTTCTGCATTCGTTAATATGCGGCTGCTCAGTTGTCTTAAGTCTTTTATGTCGGAATTCGCAGCGCTCCATTTTTATCATTGATAAAATTTTTTAAATTAGAAATGCGGACCAGGAGCTGTGTTCGAACTGCAAAAAGCTCTTCGACATCCTGGATCCCCTGTTCGACAACAACAAGAAGAAAGCAGTTGTATGGCCTCTTCAGACACTGCTGTTGACTCTGTGTCCTGATGTGTTGGGGGAGATATCGGGAAGTGATCCACCCAGTGACCACAACAACTTCAGAAAGGTGATGCTACTTTGTTTTAGGCAGCAAATAGAAAAAATTTTGATGACTGAACAGCGCCGTTTTCATATATACGCTACTCGAAATAATTAGGATTTGTTCAAAACAATTTAAAAAGGTATAAACAGTATCAGAGTTGATGTTCAAAAATATATCGATTTTTACACTAGCGTCCGCTTAGTGTGTTATTGTGAACCTTCTTTTTTTTCTAACGTAACTCGCAAATATAAGTGTTCATTAAAGTGTTCACTTCTTTAGAAATTCCACAGCAGCATTGGAAATTGCATAGCATCTGTTCTCTGCTTTATTTTTAGCTAGTATTTAATCTTCCATGGCTAAGTGGTTATTTGTGTGACTATTAATCTCAAAGGCGCAGTTTCGAATCTCACACGTAGCCGAGTTTTTGCTTGTTCGAGGCTTATTTATACTTTTTCTTATTGACTTTGTAAAGCTGCTTTTTGTTGTGTTCTCGCTATTGTTTGCCAAGCGAAGCTTGCCTCTGTGTCAAATTTAATGTGCGAGTACAACAATCCGACAGTTGCGATTAAAATATTTGAAGACCATTTGATTGGTATAAAATAAGGTTTCACCCAAAATTCAGGATGATACCATTACCAAGGAAAACATTTTCAACGGAAAGTTGAGTTTAAACTCCGTCTTTTTGATAGAAATCCACAGAGAATTATTATGTCAAGTGCGACAATAAGAAATTTTTCACTACATAATTCATTTTCTTATTATCGTAGCATCCCCTATTATTGATTGCTTTTTTAATTATTGCTTCTACTCGAAGAAAAATACGGAAGCTCCGTTGTTTTTCGCAAAATGAATTTAGATTTGTTGATTACACGTTTCGACTGATTTTATTGTACAATCTGAAATATATAAATGCCTGGAGTCCAAATTGAAAATTAGAATTTTCGCTCGCGATCATTTTGATAAAGTTTGGGGCTTCGAAAATTGCCAATTAGGGATAATTAATGCGCACAAAGTTGTCTATTTTCTTCTTAGCGCAGTGTAGGCAGCAAAGTAATCCGCCTCAGAAATCATTCCAAAGCAAATTGGGGTAAGCTGTTCTGTCCAGGTGATCAGTAACATGATGCAAACATAATCATTTTTTTTAAACTTTTCATGAAATTTGAGGGAAGAGTTTTTGAATCAGAATAATTCCATTGCGAGCGAAATAAAAAAAATCAAAACTGTTTTTATGCAATATATGAGATTTCGTTTTGTCACCCAAAATCGCACCTTAACTAGTTGACTCTGCGCTGCTTAATTTGCTACACCCTCGGTCAATAAGTAAACTTCTCCATAGAACCCGTTCAACTACCCCAGAATATCAAACCGTTCAAAATTTGGGGTCTGATGGGATGCGAATTACAATTGCGAGCATAGTGTATTAGTACGACCTTTTTTGTCCAACGTATTTTGCAAATAAAGTGCTGATTTGGTGGCACTTTTGGTGAAATAACGATCTGTAGCGCTGGAAATTGCATAGCATCTGTTATCTGCTTTATTTGTGGCTTTTATTTGTGTAATATTAAGCATCCGTGTCTGAGCGTGAGACTATTAATCTCTAGGTTGCAGGATTGAATCTGACACGTGGCAGAACTTTAACTGTTTTGATGCTTGTGTCTATGTTTTCTTATTAAGAGTCGTTGTAAGTAGTTCAGACTCTAATATAGGTCGCGATGATAGTTTTTTTTCGTTTGTTTTTTCACGAAGTCATACAGTTTATTCTTTTTAACTTCAGTCCATTTCCTTGCTAAAAGGAAGGCAAACTCCACTATCGAACAGTGAAAGTTATAAGGTCACGAAAAACGTTAATCGTCTTCTATTTTCGAAAATGGAATTTAATTTTCATGTTTCCCAGCGAAATTTAAAAATATACTATTTGATCCAGTTTTCTCAAATAGCGTTTATTTTATCGAAAAAGTAATGGCATCTATTCTTCACGAAAAAAGTTAGTTGTTTTTCTGTTTAATTGCGTTCATTGATTCTTTTTCAACTGTCTGTTGGCTATGTTTTGATTTTATACATCTGCGTTAGTGTTTGCGAAGCGCAGCTTCACCTTTGTGTAAAATTTTTTACCCAATAAGTTTATAACAGAACAATAGAGAAGATACGCAAAAAATTTGCCATGTTGACAAAATTACGTTTTTCATTTTAAGTTCAATTGAAAATTACTTGAAGGAAGGCAAATTAAGCTCAAGTTCAATTTCGAATTTCAATTTTTTCCTGGTTCCTCTTGTTTTCAACATTTTTCCATTTTTCTGTATAGACATGCTTAGCCCGGGTCGTTGGGTTTTATCGACAAACGAATTTTTGCCCATGCTGCGATTTTTACAAATAATTGCGGCCAAAAAGTGTCTTCGAATTATTCAGACATAAAAAATTGTCGGCATTTTGTGTATGCTTCATTTGTCTTTTGTACTTATAATCAAGTGTGTGCCTAAACAAACATGTGCCTAAATATGCAACTAAACTTGGCGTCATAATGGACGTGTTCTTTTAAGAAGCCTTCTGATGCTGTGTTTAGAAACTTCATCTGGAGACTATCCGGAAGGCAATTTCTGGCCAAATGCAGAAGTCATTCTTGGAACCAGCCATCACTGCTGCAGTTCAGTTGTGCAAGGTAAGCGTTAATGAAGTTTAAACTGGACTATATTTTGAGACCGCTGGTATAGACTGGGTGCTAGATAAAAAAAGACGGAATGAAAAATGAAAGAAAGACAGCGAAAAAAAGTGATCAGTTCACTACTGTTATAGAAGATTTTGTCACTCTATTTTAGTTTTAGCAGAGGACTATAAAAAATTGCCCTTCTAAGGTTGACTGCATTTTTCATCAGATTTAATTTAATAAGGTATGATTTTTTCTCGAAACTTATTGGAAAAAATACCGGAAAACTGCGTGTTTTCAGCGGTCTATTTTGACTATAGTAGCGTTTTGATTGGTGTCTTAGTAATCGCGTCAAAGTTTTGTTTCTTCGAGTTTCTATAATTTCCGTTTCCGTGCACGTTTAGCTTCACGAACCGAGTTTCGAACTTGATCTCTGTAATAACTTAAGCAGAGGCGAATCTAGGATTTTCGCGACGGGGGATTTTCATTTTTAGGTCGGCCAAATAGATTTAACCAAACAGGCCAAAAAACGCGTTAACCAAAAAGTTTCGTTTTTTTTGGCGCGCGCGCTCCGTTTCAAAATTAGTATATATTGGCGCCTTTAAAAAATTTTTAGTGTTGGTCGACCAAAATTGGATGTCCTAAAATAGTACCAAATGGGGGCCCTTTAGGTCGGCAGTGGGTCTCGAATCCTTGAGGAGAAGGCGTCCGACCCCCCCTTAAATTCGCCCTGAGCTTAAGTGCTCTTCTATGCAGTTCCTTATAACGGAAAATTTTGTTGCAGTCATTTCTAATTATAATTTGTTTTCTGAAAAAAAAGCTGTAACTCTGGGATTCGAAGCTCATTTCAAAAGATTTTCTAGGTTTCAATGTTCATAACGTGGAGTGAAAATTCGATCTTGAATCACTTGGTGCAGAGCTTCAAGCATGACCTGAAACATATTCTGTTCAATGTGCACAAACCACTCACTAAAGGGACAGCTCATACGGAGATTATGGTGGATTGTCTAGTCGCGTTTTTCAGGTGGGTAAGAGTAATTGTAAATGAATACTTTCAAACGCTGATAATTGTTTAAAGAAAATGTATTTGAGTGTTTAAAGTACCATATAAGTTTTTAATTTTTAGATCAATTTACTTTTTGATCATTGAAGTTGCGATTTTAAATATCGATAAAAGCTCAAAAATTCAAGCAGAAATACCCAAATTAATTGAAAAAAATTTAAGCAGAATTACCCAAATTAATTGAAATTGTCCAAAAAATTGTCCAGAAAAGGTCTTTGGGTTACATCTAGAGTCTTTAAACGCTGAGCCATAGTATGTTATTATTAAAGATGCTTTTCAGTTTGTTTTATCATTCTTGGTTAAGTTTTCAAAATTTATTAGAGAATTTGACTTTTGCTTCATAAAAATTTTAATTCATGACGAAAATATAAATGTTAGTTATAAATTGAAAACATTGCAGTCTTAGATTTAATTAAAAAATTCGGCCATTTTTAACTGGTAAAATCTGGAATGTGGTTATGTAACTGTAACAAATTATCCTTTGAAATCAATGGAGATTCGTTATAAGGTTCAGAAGGTTGATTGTTATTCAGACCTATGGCTTGGGTCAAAAACAATCGCCGTTCAGTTTGGTAAGTTTATACGAATAATAAGCAGCTCAATTAGGAGGGTTGGGGTTGGTTTTTTTTCTAATTAGAGTTTTATATGGACGGAGATTGTATTTGGAGGAGTGGTATTTAGACTCCATGCATATATAAATAGTAATGAACGTTCACTTTATTGTATCAAATTGACTTGCTCCGAAATGCCAACAATGATATATTTTACAACAGTGGAGTTTTTTGAGCTCTCTCGCTTGTCATAGTTATTTATTTCCATGGATTGTAATCATGCTTCAACCTCTCAATGTATTTGACTAGTTTTCAATTGTTTCCAAATGGAACAAAATCAAATTGGAACAAAATGTGCAAGTATTATTTGTTCAGCGCAATTTTTAACTGTAATTTTTGCGTTGATGGTCTTTTTACCCTTGCGATGAGCAAGGGTATTGTAATCTAGCACTAGACTTTTTCCGGTTAACAACTTTAATAAAAGAATGCTGAAAATTAGGATGTTTTACAGGTAATATACATGTAAATTATTTTCATGTGTTCGATGAGCGTTGTTCCGACTATTGAAAATGGGGAGAAACTTTGTTTGGGTGTTTTAGTTTTTTTGTTTTCCATGCAAAATCAGGTAACACAAAAAGTCATCGGAATGGTTTGAGTGATATATCTTATAACACTTTTTTTTGTTTAGTTGCGTTCATTGACTCTTTTCCTACTGTATGTTGGCTATGTTTCACTTTATATATGCAAGTTCTAGGCTTTCATTTAGATTCTATCTTCACATCAAAACAAGAAAACGCGCAATATGAAAAAAAAACTTTATTAGTAGTTTTTTTTAACAATATGCTCCGAAATTTCACAGATCCTCCTTTTAAAAAATGAAAAAGTAAAAATGTTTTTTTTTGGCCTTTTGATTTTATTTAGATTGAATTTTTTGTTTTAATTTTCGAGCGACTGACTGTCTGTAGCATATAACTTTCGGCGATGTTAATTGAGTTCATGAATTTTTACGACTTTCATATAATTCTTAGATTAATTTTTACAGCTGATTCTTTTATCTTGGTTTCATTGCTTTCTAGCCTAAATTGTTTGGTTATTGAATTTTAGACAGTGAAATAGCAAGTCTGTGGGGCTATGAAACAGACTTTTTTGTTGATTAGCTTTGATAATTTTCTACTAAAAATTTCGAGTAGAACTCATTGTTGTTGAAATGGAAACGCGTTTTTCTTAATTTATATGTTATATTCCTCTATTTCTGCATTTAAATACCTTAAAACAATTGGAATGATTATATTCTCTGTTTTGTTTGAGTTTTAAAAGTCAATTTCGTTTTGTTTCTTGCTAAGAAGTTTTTCCGGTATATTTCAATGGAGTACATTATTTATTTATTCCATTTGTTTTTGTTCAACGCCCATTTTCAATTTCTTTTTTTTGCCAGATTAAGTTTCTTTTCAGACGTAGTTCACACTCTTGTATAGGTGCTGATGATTTTTTTTCAGGGAAAGTTGTAAGCTTAGTTCAGACGCAAATGTACTTTTTAGCGGTTAACTTCTGATTTCTTAAATCATTTCCTTTGTTAAAAAGAAGACAAACTCTTCTATCGAACAGAAAAAGTATTAAGGTCGCGAAAAACGTGATGGACTTCTAGTTTCGAAACTAGAGTTTGTTTTTCAGGTAAACCAGTGGAATTAAAAATTTAACTGTTGATCCAGTTTTGTCTAATTGGGTTAGTTCAATCAAAACGTGCCAATTATAAATTGTTCTAGAAGTTGAAAGAGCTTTAAAGGCATCAATTTTTTTTAAACTCGAGAGTTGACATTTATTCAAAAAAAGTCGGTTTTTTTCTGTTTACCTGCGTTCATTAATTCTTATCCAACTGTCTGTTGGTTATGTTTCAAAATATTAGTCAGTTATTGTTAAATTTCGGAAGACCTTCATAATTTCGTTTCAAAAATTGTTTTTGCCTAGTGTTTTTCTTGTTTTGTGCTTTGAGTGTAAAAGGAGAGAAGTTTTTTTTTAGAAAATGTTGAAACCTGTTCACGCTCAAAATCGAGTTTTTGCGGTTTGACTTTTGAATTGTTTTCAAGTTCAGTTCAAATCCTTTGTTAACTGGTGTTCAAACTGTTCTATCGAACAGCAAATTTGTATTGTTAAGAAAAACGCGATTAAAATCTGGTTTCAAATTTGGACTTTAAATTTCCCAGCCGAAAAGAAAATTTTCAATGACCCAGTTTTCTTCAATGGGATAGCTTCAAGAAAAATGTCAATCGTAAACATTTCTTGAAGTTCAAAAAGTTTAAAACTGATATTTTTTTCTTCGAATTTCGGAAGTTCTTTTGCTGATTTCTTGTTTTTTTCTTATTTCATGTTTGGTCTGAGTTTTGTCGTTGGATTAATAACAAAATATAAACAGATTCGAATTATTTCGAAAGTTTTCGGAAAAATGTAATATTTTTAACTTAGTATTCAGAAGTTTTACTTTTTTGTTGATACTTAATTTTTCCTGATTTTTAAAAAAATTGTTGCTATGCGCGACTTTTTTGCTATAATCTTTGCCTTTGTGTAAAATAACAAAAAAATAAGGGGAAAATTGATCACTAGAATTGGAATTACTTACGTAACCCGTCACCCCACCAAATGATGAAGCTCCGTCGTTTCCATTATAGTGTTAATGTATTCACTAGTCATCCCAACCAGTTCGTACGGGGGGGGGGGGGAGAGCGATTGGCATGTGAGCCTATTAGCATGCAAAAATTGCTCTAATGGGATGTGCATTCAGACAAAAAAAGCAAATAGGCCTAATTTTTCAATTAACGTCAAAAACCACTTGATTTGTTAGAGAAATATAAATTTCATTTTCGCCTTATTAAGTATTCGGCTACATGCTAATAGGCCGATCTCCGTTTGTACACCGAATTTCAACACCCCACCCCTCCGTACCTAAATACGCAAAACTTAAGTTAATTTAATTTACCATCTACATTACAACAGTAATGAATACTATTATAAGGCATGGAGGGTGACCCAAAGAGAATTTCATCTCATCGAGTGGGACACCTCGAGAACTTAAAGAGCAGAGACATAAAGTCTCCAGAGTGGGCATCAATTAAAGAGCAGTTTGTGTAAGAATTCATTATCAAAAATATAATTATGGAAAAAAGATTCCTGAAAATGGTTCAGTTCTGATGCACGGTTCACGTCTGTATCATTTTCCGGCGTGCTTTTTTGAAGGCGTTTTTAATCTCAAGTTGAACTGATGTTCTACGTCAAGTCGCTGCTTTCGAATGCAATTTTTACGTTCCAGACAATGCACTTCCAGAAATTAGAACTGGCAAATGCAAGTTTGCAAATGCCTTCAGTCCCTCCTCCTCAAGAGGGGCAGCGCGAATGCAATTTTTTAACTATCCGTACCTCTTTTTCGTAACAGGTTACCATAGGTAGCATATCTCCAACAGTTGAATTGATCTGTTATAGATTGAAACTCGGGTCTAGAGGGGAGATATGCTATGTATAGAGCGGGATTCTTAAAAATCTCTCGTTTCTCAGCGCCCAAAGTGAATGATTGTTTTAGGATCGACCCCCGTGACCGTGAACTGTTTCGAGTGTGTATGCAGCCCAATGCTCCCATATCTTTCAAAATTGCAGTTGTGCAGGTGAGAAGAGCTTTTAATACAGAATTTTTCATGTTTTGGAACGTGCATTCGCGGATGAAGGGTTCTCGAGATCGTAGAAAAGTACAAAAAAGGGGCGCCGAATTCCCGCAAAAAAGTCCCCCCTCCCCCAAAAAAAACGACGAATGAAGGCCAGCAGATTTGTGCGTTTCAGCCTCTAAACAAATAGCTGTTTGGTATATGGATAACAAAACGCTCTTGAACATTAAAATAAGATTTCTAAATTGTTATCAGTAGAATCATTAAATCTTCTTTTGAAGTGAATAGTTATAATTTATCTATAATTTATCGGTGATCGGATGATTTTCAAGGTGCGGAATGATTAATTCCTACACCGGGTCGTAGAAATCCCACGGCAGATCTGAAAATATTATGAAAAAAAACAATGCATCTAATAAAATAACGAGTTAAAGAGAAGCGCTGTTTTTCGCCGGTCTTTATTGTACGCTAGCAATTACTGCTTTTTAGAATATGTGTTAAATCAAATTGTAAATACCTGGATACTATTTAAGGTTACGGTTACAAACTATGCATGTTTTTTTTTGTAAATGCTAATTGATTCTATCCAAGTTTATTGAAATTTGAAAGTGATAAATTTTGACTTCTTTTTTTCAGGCCCTCCTGGCGATTGTGGTTAAGAAGAATCCCGTTTGGAGTCCGAGTGCTGATGATCTGCTCATATTCGCTTCTGAGTTGAGGTCGCTCTTCTCCGAGACACAAGTGAAGGTCATCCAGCCAGTGTCAGTTTCCCAACACCAACCACTCAAAGTGTCACAGGTCAGTGATCCAGGGTCGGATTAGTGGGGGGGGGGGGGGGGTGGGGGGGGCAGATGTGCAAATGTGTGTAGGGTGCGGTAGGTGAGAACGCAATAGATGCTCATAAATCACAGCTCTGATGCTTTTGTATATTTAAATTGGGTAGTTCAGTTGAGAAGAATGTTTGCTAAATATTTATGCCAATTTAACAATAGAATAAATGGCGTTTCACGTGTGAATTAATGGTAGCTACATAGATGACAATATCGACTTGTCAATAGAATCAATCAGATACAATTTTTTTTGGAGAATCAATAATATCGGCCTTTCAGAAATTTGCGGCCTCGCGCTTCAGAGACAAATTTGATGAAATACTCAATAACATCTTTCAAGCTGTTTTGTTGTAAGAAACTTTCAAATAGGATTTTAATGGCCAAAACATGCTCAAACTAGAATTTCAGAAGCAATCACAGTTTGTGAGTTTTCAGCTTTGTTTATGTTAATTTAATTTTAAAAATAGTCTTATTTCAGAGTCTCAACCTGCGTGAAAAGATGACGACAGTCGGCCTCAACCTGAAATTCAAGGCCAAATCACTGGAGGATGAGATCAAATACCTCATGCTGTGCTTGGCCAAACTCATCTGTGCTTTTCCTCTTCTGTTGCTGTACAATTACGAGGGGGGATCTATGGTCGGACAGTCGCATCAACATCATCGCGATTTGAACAGCAACGGGCAATCGGTTAGTTGATTTAAAAACGATATTTAAGTAGGTAAATTATAGACGCACGGAGCCTAGAATTTTTTGAGTCGGAGGGAGATTTTTGGAAAATAGGAACTTTCGCAGATCTTTTTGTTAGCCGACTAAATTCAAATTGATTTTCCGGTTCGAGAAATTGTCGATTTTTTTGCGCACGCTCCACCCTCAAATTTAGTATTTATTGGTGCCTTAAGAAATTTTTAGAGTTCGTTAGATTGAAAAAGGATGTGGCCAAGTAATACCAAACGGGAGACCCTTTGAGTGATCAGGGTTTCGAATTAGAAGGTGCCCCTCCAGAAGCTGTGCCTGTATAGACGTGCGAGCTGTTCAGTTACATGTTCAGTTACATAACCATTGCTTAACACATTCCATTATTTCCATATTTAACTTAAGAATTTGACAAACTCATAGAAATTTAAACTATTTTCCGGGTTAATTTTGGACGAAACAAATTGTGCTCGCCGTCGTAATTGTTAGTTTAAGGGAGGTAAAATTTCAAACACTTTTTCTTCTTAGTGATGCAGTAAAAAGCACCAATTTAACTGGACTCATGATTTTTTGTCGACCATTTATTGGTTCTCGAAATTTTCTTCTTTGTAATTTTTACGATTATTTTGAAATAAGTTGCGCGCTAAGTTTTTTTGAAGGCCTGCGATCACTTTTATACCATTACCAGTGGCGCTGTTTTTTAAATGAATGAATGGTTTGGACCTGAACTTGTTCGAAGTGTGTTCCTGTTTTAGACCCCTCTCGCCATGTCCTCTCCCAACAGTGGCGGTGCTGTCGGATCCTCGTCTCTCCCCACTTCCTCAGTGTCAGTGGTCACTCCTCTTTTGGAAGGGGGACTCGCACCCACAGGTACAAAGCACAATCAATAATTACCCTTGCGATAAGCAAGGGTATTGCAATCGGGTACTAGAATTTTTTCACTTAATTAACTTTGCTCACATAATGGTCAATTTAAAAATGGTAAGACATGCTCATTTAAAAAAAAAATTCTTGTAAAACCATATCTAGGTAGTTAATTGTTTCCGTCGGTTCATTTTCTTTTTTTAATATCATTTATTTTATCTGGTACTAACTTAATCGGCCTACTTTGTGAAGCATGGATTTTATTTTGATACAGCATTTTTTTTACAGTAATTGAAAGTTCTGAAATTTTTCATTTTACCAAGTCTTATTTTGAATAATTTTTAATGTGTTTTTCGACTACATGGTTTCGGCTGATATTGTGCCGACTGAGTCAACTTAAATTGTGTTATTTTGCCGGCCAAAAAATTCTTGTTCGACAAAATCAGGTATTATGAAAATGCGTGGGTGGGGTTTTATTTTTAATTTTTTGAGAAGCTTCGGAAAGTTTTTTCACTTCTTGCAAAAATTTCAGTTCAGTTGGAAAATTCTCTATCAGGTTTCAAAAAAGGCGTATCAATGGAAAGGCCGCCTACTTCCCTGTGCGCCTGCTTAATCTTCTGGTCTTTTTTTAATTTTTCCCTACTGTCTACTTCATTTTCTCAAAAAATCCTTTTCTAAATCTGAGATTTTTGGTTCGATAGATGAAACGGGTTATGGGAAGCTCCTGCATAAACGGCTAGCCCCAAAATTTTTCTCCTAAAAGTCATGGCCCTCGGACTAGTCAAATTTTTGATGTTTTCGACCGTTTTTTTATTCTTTTTGAATTTTCTCAAAACCTACCCGCCCAAATCGGAAATTTTGATTTCAATCCAAAGAAAGGTTTTTGAAAATGTTTGTTGCATGTGCGGCTACGCCAAAAAGTATTTAAACAAATAATAATAATCCTAGGAAAAGTCAAATTTTTTATTTTTGACCTTTTTGAAAATTTTGACTTCTCTCGAAAACTACCCTCCTAAATCGGATATGTTGGGCTCAATCGAAACAACAGTTTGTGGAAAGTTCGCTTACATAATCCATTACGGCTAATTTTTTTGCAAAAGTTATGGCCCTCAAAGTCAATAATTGTTTTGTTGTACTGTCTTTTGAAACTACTTTTAACTTTTCTCGAAAACTGCCCTCTCAAATCATGAGGCTTTGCGTACCATCGAAACAACATATGGTTTGAGTCTCTCCTGTTGAGTGCTTACGCCCAAATTGTTTTACGCAAAAAAGTGTGGCAGAAAATCAAGTTTTTGATTTATTGACAGCTTCTCGAACACTACCCTGACAATTATTAGGTTAAATGTTCGGGTTCAATCGAAAAACCCGGTTTTCGGAGCCTTCACTGCATAAGCGGCCACGACTTTCTTAATTACAGAAAAAGTCATTGATTCCGGAAAGTCAAGTTTTTGAACTTTGACCGTTATTTGGAAACTTTTTGATTTTCTTAGAATCTACCCTATCAAATATGAGATGAAGGATTTAATCGAAAGAACCGGTTGCGAGAATTGTTCCTACAGAAGTGGCAACTCCCTTTTTGTAAGAAAAAATTTTTGTTTTTGGGAAGATGGGCATTTTTCCGAATATTTCACTATTACTTAATTTAGTAGAGGCACAACTAAGGTTTTGGGCAAAGTCCAATTCTTGAAATTAATCATTCCATCGCTCATCAATATAACAAATTCCGAAAGTATAAGTTTGCTAGCTTCAGCTGGTCCCCATAGTTTTCTTTTGGCGAGACATGCAAACGTTTTGGTTCACCTTGTTTTATTTTCACTCTTCTTACTTATTTAAGTAGAGAAACAATGTTTTGTTTTGGGCAAAGTGCAATTTTTGAAGTTAACCTATTTCATTCCGCATCAGTATAACAATAATATCAAACATCTACCTTCAATTTTAGCTGGTCCTCTTGTTATCTTTTATCGAGAGATACGAACATTTTTCGACAAATTTCATTTTTTTCTACTTTCTTTTCGACTTGTTTGTGTTGCATCGCAAGTGGTGCGAAGGTGCGTTTCGCCTCTGTGTATAAATTGATGTTTAGGAACAAATCGGTCGGATTGAGGTTAGGGTGTATGGGTCTTATTTTATCTATCTTCTTTATCCGCTCAACCTCCCCTCCCGGCGTCACCCACACATTGCCTATTTTCCAGTTTTTGTTTGTCCGTTTTTAAGTGTCAATGATCGTTTTTTTGCAGAAAATTTAACATCAAATTTGATATTTTGCTGTTTGAAGTGTGAATTTTTTCTGAGTTCAATTCAAATTCATTCACTAAAATGCACACAAAATACTCAATTGAATTACGAAATCGAAAATGGCGCGAAAAAAGGTGGCTGTGAAAGGTTCGAAAGTGGATTTTAATTTAGACTTCTCAGGGAAATAAAAATTGGCCTATTAATCCGGGTTTTTATCAATTTGGGTTAATTTTATCAAAATAGTGTCAATAATAAATTGTTCGCTAAATCAAATAGCTTTAAGGCCATCCATTTTTTTCGTTGAAATTGTTTTTTTTAGCCCCTGGTCCTACCTACTCAAGGCTAGACTGTCCTTGGGGGAAGGGGGATGTCGTCCATTTCGCGGTAGCCCGTCTCACCCTGAGGTTCTTTTTTCGGTTCCCTTGAGTTCGTCGACACTTCCAACTGTCTGCTATGTTTGACTTCTGTGTGATACTACCATTTTAAATGTACCCAGAAGTAAAAAGAAGTTTTTTTGTACAGCAAAGTTAATTTACTTGGGATAGCAAGGGTGGTTTTTCAAGCCTCGATATTGTTGATGTGGGAACTTAAAGGATGTCTTGGCATTTATGATAGATTGCGTTCCAATCAAAGGCTTATTGTTCCGACTTTTAACGAAAGTAATAGGATATTTGTGCTCGGTATGTTTTTGTGCTCGGGGTTGGTTTTTACAAGCCTTTTTTGACCAAATTTTTTTTATGATTCAAAACGTAATGTTGTCCTGAGCTAAATTTGAAAAGATTTCACCTGTGATCATTTTTCGTAAAGTTATGGGGGCATTTTGGCCAATTTGAGACAATTAACGCGCGATATGCTTCGCGCTATTAACGCGTAAGCGGAGATTTATTTCATCTTAGAAATTGGTTCAAGGAAGCTTATTTGCCATAATTGATTTGTTACAAGGAGCGAAATCTATCCTTTTGTATTATTAATGGCGTATGGGGGGATGATTTTCTCAAAAAACATCAAATTAAAAAATATATAATCATTTTTTTTATTTTGGTCAATTTTTTCATGTTATTACTGCTCTATAGACCTTAAAAAGCAGCTTCGCACTGATACGAGCAGTCTTGTGTTTATTTCATAGCTCCAGTAGGGTATCCATGTCTAGTCTGTTAAGTTTTAAATACATTTTTTCGTCGCTAATGCTGGAACGCGGGCTAGATTTTAATGATGATTTTTGGTGGTTTGATTGCTGGCTCCAAAGTGAACGTCCGCTGCGCATTTAATTGCACTTCGCCACTGTGCAGTAATTGTTCGGATTAAATTTAATTGACTATATTTCTGTACGGTATAAGTTATCAATTATAAATTGATCAAGCTGAAGTGATATATTTTGTCTCCAAAATCAGGGGCGGATCTAGGATTTTCAAAAAATTTTCGAAAATTTTGTCGACCTTTTTTTTAGGTCAATCAACTTAATTTCCGAGCTCTCTCAAAGCTCTAAAAACACCCTGGTTTGGCCAAATTTTCTGCGCAGCAGGAAAAGTTTTAAAATAACAGGCAAAAAAGCGTTTTGAGGCACTTTTTTGAAAATTAGCGCGCGCTCCTTCAAAATTAAAATATATTGGCGCCTTTAGAAAAATTGGCTGAAAAATCTATCTTGTAGCCAAGTTAATTTGGCATTCTCCTTTGCCGCAAAGCGTTTTCCTCAAACTTCTTAAGTTTTGTTCCTTGTTGGGCTTTTTAGCCAATCAGAATTGACAATCTCACTCAGCGCCTAGAAAATTTGATCAGAATGAAAACTAGTTGAAGATTTCGACTTCGACCTATTAAGGGGAAAGGATGTCAATTTAGTCCAAATTTTGTCATATTGTAATCAACCCGACTGAAAGAACATTGAAAAATGTTTTTTTTTTTCAGGGACTGTGTTGTTGGGGAGTAACAGCCAAGTGTGCAATCTGGTGTTTGGCCTGACAGCTCTAGTCACTCAAGTCCAACTGCCTGATCTAGCGCAAGAGAGTATGAAGGTACATTCAATAATCATATATATTAAATCATATTAATTTAATATATTTAGAGCGTCAGGTACACAAGTGAGAGTAGTGTTATTTTCCGAATCCATTTTTTTTAACTCAACCTCCAAGTTAGTGTTCTTTTGCTACATTACATTAGCAGCCTAATAGCATCTATTTTATCTGATTTTTTAATGGCCAGTGTTGCCAATTTTAAACGCTCATTTTTACCTTCTGTTTCCTCGTTTCACTGGTTTTTTAGAGTCGATGAACGTAGTGAAGTCTTATATAGGTCAGATGATTTTTTGATTTTTTTCTTTCAAGAAACGTCTTAAAATTTGTTTGAACCACTTTTATTTTTTAAACACTTGAATATTCTGAAAGAAATTTCCTTTTTTGGGTTCGTTGAGTTAATTGTCTTTTCCCTTCGTTTGTTGGCTCTTTAAAAAGTTCAAATGATTTTAGCTTCTCGAGATTTGAAGGCCTCTTCTATGATCAGTTATTTTTTGCTCAAGCTGATTTCGATATCATTTTTTCTATTAAGAGTAATGAACGTAGTGAAGACTCTTTATGTAGGTCTTGCTGATTTTTTTTTAAATATTGATGCACTTAGGTTTAATGCACTTTTTGAGTTCAATTGAAATTCATCTGCTGAAAGTGACGTAAATAGCACTCTCCAAATACGAACGTGGAAATGGCGCGAAAAGACGTGAACGATTTCTAGTTTCGAAAGGAATTTATTTTTAAGATTTTCCAGCGGAATAAAAACTTTACCTATTTATCCAGTTTTCTCAAGTTGGGTTCATGTTGTCAAAAAAAGCGCCAATCATAAATTGTTCTAGAAATTCAAAGAGATTACAGGGCATCTATTTTTTTCGATTGAAATTCGAAAGTTGAGATTTTTTCAAGAAAGTGTTTTTTTTTATGTTTACTTGCGTTCATTACTCTTTTCCAATCTTCGATTGGCTATGTTTCTATGTTAGAATGGAAATGAAGAATACAAATTGACCTGGAGGTTGTATTGTTGTTTTATTTTTGCTGAAAATGAATTTCAACCGAAATGTATTTTAATGAAATGGTGTTAAACTTCGAAAATACTTAATCAATTGTTACCTTGTATCTAGAATTTTTCATCCATGTTTTAGTATAACTGCATGCGTGATTAGAATGTGAGGTTACTTCCGTGTTTTTGTTCAGACAATATAAGCCCATTTACAGTAGCCTTTGAAAAATATATATTTTTTCAAGCATGGAGTTTAACTCACAAATTTCCCCTAAAATGATGGTTTGCATGTTTAATGACAGCATGGAATGTTTAAGGCAACAATAGTAGGCTGGTGCGTTTTTAAATAAAGGGGAATTTTAAGCGTTTATGGCGGAAAAGCGTGGGTATTAAGTAGCACTCAAATGGAGTTAACATGTTGTTCTATACAAAAACGGAAAAAGACTGCTGTGCGTTTTAAAAAATTGAGCCCGGGCGTTCTCAAAACTAACATTAAATGTGAAATTTGAAGCGCAGAAATCTTTATACTTTCTCATTAAGTTGGAACGTAGAAACTGTTTATAATGAAGTTTCGAAGAAGCGTTTGGAATTTGAAACGAAGAAAGCTTAACACACATTTTCTTTGAGTGTGTAAGAAGGTTTCTCAACCGAGGATGCGTGGTTAATTATGCTTGTTTTTCACTGGATTAAGATTCCATCAATTTCTCAGTTTTAGATGTCAGAATCGTAATTTTAGTTGTTATTGAAATTTATTTTAACTAAATTGAGCGGTACTTTAAACATTAAATCCAAATAAGTCCCCCGACCAGCAGCTTCCCTTTTCCCGATTTTGTACTTGATTTCATATTTTTTGGTAAAATTTTTTCATTCATGCTTTTTGCCTTGAATTACAGGCTCTTTCCATTTTAAAACTGCTGATAACAGCAAAAAAAAAGTTATGTTTCTCTGCTGAGGGGTAGCAGTTTGAGATCCCCTGAGCTAACCTGTAACGATTCGCTACCCCTTTTACTGGACTAATTCAACAGTTAAGCATTCCCCTTCTACCATATTAGTAACTAAATTAAGGGGGTAGGGTATAGTTGGAAAAATCCTAGACTTGTTATTTGCATGCTAAGTGTTCCCTTTTTGTTTAGAGTCAATGTTCACTGTTATTGCATGTCGGATTGGGATTTATCACTCATTTTCAGTATGAATGCGGAGGAGCTTTAAAGACCATTTTTGACTCTTGGAGATTCGCATTCTGAAGTGTTGATGGTTTCGATTGAAACAAAACAGGATCTATAGAGCTATATCTCTTCAATCGAAAATGAAATACTGTTGCATTAACTCATCTCGCCAAGATACGCCGTATTCGCTGTTGCAGTTTATTTGATAGGAGGAAATAAGTTCATTGCTTAGGTTGTTCTTCGGGAACACAATTGAAAAACGACAAGATTGAGAGCTCAAATCAGTTAGAGTAGTTTATGAATTACACGACATACGATGTTATATGCAGTTTAGTTTCGGCGAGCTTATTTTTATCGGAGAAGTTATTTTCGTCAAAGCACACATGAATCAAAAGCTCATTTGATAGTGGCCCACATTGCGTAAAAAAGCAAGTGATCGAAAAGTAGAAAAAAGTTCAATTATGAGTTTTCATTGCTATTTCGATTAATTGGAAAAATAATTCGACTGTTTGAATTGTTGATTTGAGTAAAATTTCGTCATGTTGAGGGAATTCTAATCCGATTAGAAACGGAGGATGCCAATAAATGGACGACTTACAAGTTTTTCTGAGCAAATTTTAAGGCTGATATCATAAATTGATACCACTATGTGCGACAAACATTGCCATGTGAGAACAATTTTCAAAAATCAAATGATGAACATAAACAGAATTTATCTGTTTGCGGCTTTATCAGGCAGAAATCAAAGATAAAGTGATTGTTTTTGTTCATACTCCGAGCATTGATGCTACAGAGATTTGCAGTTAATCGGCATCATCTGAATCAGTCTTCGATATTCTTGAGGTTACTGTCAAAACTTCCTCGCGCTCTAATTTTGAATGTCGCAGTTGGATTATGTGGATTGACATTCATCTAAACTGAGATTACGCATAAGGTTTCTGACATCGACAGAGTCTAAATAAATGAGCAAGAGAAGCTTGATCGATTAGATAGATGGAAAGAAGAAATGAAATAAGCGAACCGATTCAGAGTTGATTGGATTGAAACGAGGGAAAATGTTTATTTTATCAAGGATAATTCAAGCGAAATGAGTCTTGGAGTGCGCAATGTTAAGCAAGGAACACGGAAAAAAGACTAGCCTGAAAAAAGACATTTCTAACCAATATACTGAAAATTCTAAATTGATGAATTAAACTAAGGCAGAAAACAATTTATTTTAATTTCGAGAGATATTTATTTTTTTTGTCATATTTGTAATAATATCATGATCCCAAAGTGTTCTGTCATGACAAAAAATCGAATAACCGATAGTTGATTGACTTTTTAACAAAGTCCACTGGCATGTAAAATGTCACTGTATTGGTTTTAGTAAAAAAAGCCGAAGTTTTGCAAAATGATAAAATTTGAGAGACTGGAAATTCTTAGCTTATTAAGGATCACCACCGTAGTGAATACTCTTATAGAGGTCTTGGTGATGTTTTTTGTTTTTTAGGAAAATTGTAAACTGCGCTATTGGACCGCAAAAGTGTAACGAACACAAAAAACGTGATCGACTTTTAGTTTCGAAACTGAATTTTGATTTTCAGATTTCCAGCGGACTAAAAAACTTACCTATTGATCCAGTTTTCTCAGGGTTAATTATATCAAAAAAGCGTCAATCTTGAATTATTTTTGAAGTTCAAAGAGCTGTAAAGCCATATATTTTATACGTTGAAATTGTGTTCATGAATCTTTTCCAACTATCTGGTGGCTAAGCTCTTAAGTGCTGCCTCTCGAAGGCAAATCCCAAATGTGAGTCCAAAATGCGATTTTGAATTATGATTATACTATTTCCATTTGCGAGAGCAAGTGACCTGTAATCGGGAACTAGACTTGTTTCCAGTATATGACCTTCCTTACACTTTCTGCCGACACGCTCAAGGTTGACATGCTCAAACTCTTCAAAGTTCAAATAAAACTATTTTTAGCTCATGCGGGTTAGTAATTAATTTTTTCCAATAATTTTTTTTTAAATCGATTTTTTTTCGGATTTGTGTTTTTCGTCCTAATTTCTTTCGACTGATTTTCGGCGTTTAAATACAATTTGTAATATCTGGTAAGCTTTTCAATTGGTTGTTTTTCAATTCTTGTGTTTTTCTTTTTGAGTAAAAGTTTTTTTTCTGTTATTGAGAGTTGCTCTGTAGTTTATAATTTTACCTACTCCGATTTTTAATAATTTTTGATTTCTTTTTGGTTAAATGGGTTTGGCGTATGTTTTATCAGCTTAGTCCACTTATTTTGCACAGCTTCAAGGGCTAATTGTTTTTAACGCCGTTGTCTGTTTTAGGAGGGATGGGTTGTAAACATTTTACTTTGTTGAATATTTTACAGCTTGAATTGAAAATTTAAAGCTTGAATATTTTTGTGTCTACATTTTTGTTTTCGGCTTAAAGAGCGTCGACCCAAGTTTTTTCGTCTTAGTTGCGATTCTGTCATTGATTCTCAATGCTTGTAAAGACGGTTTTGAACGTCGAACGCGAGATAGTGGCGAATTTTTTTAAATGGAGTTTTCGGATTTTAAAGTTATTTTTTCAGCTCAAGTTTTTCGAAAAAATGTCTTCCTACTTTTTGTATATTCAATAAATTTCAATGAAATAATTTGATTTTGTTGCCAGTCAGTTTATTTTGCGCAGTTTCAAGAGAGAGTTTTTTGTAATTCTTTTGCCTGTTTCAAGAGGTTTAGATCGTAAAAATTTTACTTGAAAATGTTTCAAGCTATAAAAAAAAAATTTCATGTCTACGATTTCGTAATCAGCATAACGACTGTCAACTTTATTTTTCGCATTAATTGCCACTACGTCCGTTAT